GGATGACTAGCAGGGGTGACGGCTGTAGTGGTGACAGGCAGGATGACTGTAGCCAGGGGGTGATGGCTGTAGTGGTGACAGGCAGGATGACTGTAGGGGGGGGGTGATGGCTGTGGCGGTGACAGGAAGGATGAGTGTAGCGGGGGCGACGGGATGGATAATTTGGAACTATTACAATAACAGCTAGATGCCCTCAGAAGGTGGTGCCGTCTCATTCTTTTGGGTCTGTTTCCCGCGCCTCTGTATAGGAGGCCAGCCTGACTGTTTCTGACCCTGCCCCCCCCCCCCCCCCTTCTAGACGGTGTGCCCGGGTGGCTCGGTCCAAAGTCGCCGTCAGCAGAGGAGCAAAAGAACGACACCCGCACCCCGGTCAGCTGGTCTGCTGAGCTGTCCCCCGCTCTCAGAGGCAAAGGGCTGCCCCAGGACTCAGAGGTAAGGCCGTTTCCTGTTCCCAGAGTAGAGCATTGTGGGAAGGTGGTTATCATATGAAAACCTGCATTTTGTTATGGTGAGTTTGTGTATATACTGCAGGCATAATGATTGGTTATTGCTTTTGCTAGTGGTTTGTGACTGTGTCCCCCTGGCTGTTTCAGTGGCTTTCAGCATTATTGTCTTGCAGATGCTCTGGGGATAAGGTAATAGACACCTACGGTATTTCTTCCTGAATAAGATTTGTAGTTTTTTTGATTTTCTAGTTTGTCTGATTTATATCACAATTCTTCACAGTCTCCTATGGGTGGTTGTGATAGGATCACTATCCTTACAGCTTTAGGACTGACTCTACCCTGGCCACTGGAACTCTACCCTGGCCACTTCTGTAAAGCAGCACTCTGCAAGTCCTCACAGGAGATGCCGATGATGCTGTGGCTGAATTATCCCAGGGCAGCGCCCCTAGTGGCCACTGCAGGCAGAACATCCACGTTAAAAATCTGTGATTATTTCTGTTAGTTGCAGATGAAAATTTGTTTGAATAGAAAAAGAAATGTTACTGTGGCGCGATCCTTGAGAACAGACATGCCAATGCATTTTAACCACTTGGTTGTACCAATTTAATAGGGGTTAAAAGTCACAAGGTGCATGGTTTTCTTGGGTTTCCTTCAAACCCACAGAGGACTGAGTGATGAATGAGTGACTGATACGCATCTCCGGAAAGGATCCCGTCTCGCCCAGTCAATTACAGGCTAAACGAATTTACTGTAAACCTGAAGCGAAACCTTCAGCGATCAATAGCAAATGCAGTCGTTTGCATTTCCCTGTGTTGATATTTTGCTGAGCGGCCTGTGAAATTAAGCAGCGCTGCCTGTAATTATATTGAGTGTAATTAGACTGCAGTGCATGACTGTACTCCAGTGTGTAGCAGTGAAGCTATGTTGCAAGGTGGCGAGGGCATAGATACAGTGACCTTCTTGTGACCAGAAGACGTTGGATTGCAGTTTGGGCAAAACAGGCATGAGACTGATTGCAGGATAGCTGCATGTATTGCTGTCCTCAAACAACTGCTGCCTTCTTTAAAAAAAAATAAAAAATCCTTTCTGCGTCTGTAAAACGCTTCACTAGCGACTGAAGGCTCTTCAGCGAATATGTGTGACGCGCAGCACCTGCTCTCCTCAGCCGGGTGCCGGTAATTAGCCTGCATGCTAGTTTGGCTTTATCTTAGTGCTTATAGTCACTATAAGGTGCTCATTCCCGTTACCTCCTCCTCTGTGCTTAACAGCAGATAACAAATGGAACACTTGAGGTATTCTCTGAATTTATTAATACACCGTTCTCATCTTCATAATCACTGTCTTCGGGGGGGGGGGGGGGGTACACAGGCTTTGGACTGGGGACCTCGGACGAGTTCAGTAGCCTCTTCCTTATTTTAGATTAGTGTCAGACTAAGACTGCTAATGAAATTCCTTCCTATGGGTGGCGCCATCTTTAACCCATGAGCAAGTCTGCCTTTCTTTTTTTGGAGAGACCGCTCTGCGATGGAGTGGAGATGCCGGGCTTGGTCCCCAGCCTGGGCGGCGGGCGTGTCGTTGGCAGAGACCCTGGAGATCCAGGTCTTTAAAAAGCCCCCATTGTGGCGCAGTTCCCAGGTCTGAGAGGAGGGGACCTGGTTTCCATGGCGACGTCTTCTGTGTTGCCGTCTGACTCCGGTATTCAAAGGCGAGTCGAGTTGGCTGGCGGGATGAGTTCCCAGTTTGGTCATCCTCAATTTAAACCAGTAGTGGTGGTAACCCCATCCCCCGACTGGTCCTTGTGGTTTCAGAGTGTGGTTTCTCTATCCTTCAGTTAGTCTGGACCATTACCGCTCGTTCCCACCAGGAGATGAGGGGCACGCTTCAGTGTGATTAGGACTTCAGGGAAGCCGCTGCTTGGTCTTCACTCTGACGCGGTCGCCTGCAGAAGCTCTGATGCCGTTTCACCACGAGCCTTGGGACACGTTGCAGGGACAGAGACGCTTTGCGTTCACGTTTTTCCTTAAAGGCCATTTTGCTGTGTCAGAGGAGGCTGGGTTGTGCTTCCACTGAAGCTGACGTCTTCGGGCATTCAGACCTGATGGAGCTCTCTCTAGCCCGCTGCCATATTCTGGTAGTTTCCGCAAAACTGACCCCAGCTTTCATGAAGAGCTGAGACGTCTCTCCTGTGTAATGAATTGCGCCCCCTACTGCCTGCCTCCTGTTATCGCAGCCCCCCCTTAAAGGCTCCATAGAGCACATTAAATTCTGCTGTCGGAGCGAGCAGCAGTGAAGGTAATGGTGGCTGATGTCTAAGTGCAATGGGGGGTTTGGGGGGGGGGCATAGAGGATACTGAGCACTGAGTCCTGGCCAGACAGCACAGCACTGCTGTGAGGTTTTTAGCACCTGCTTGTCTCTCTGCTTAGTATAATGCAGTACCATAGTATGGAGCAGTACCCCTTAGTATTAAGAGAGAGTAACCGAGCAGCATGACGTTAAAAGCTCCTGACTTGGATATGGCAGGTGAAAACCTCATCCTGTTACTAAATAACCTGTTTCTGACATCGAATCTGTGCTTCTGTGAGCCAAATTGCAGAGAACTGAAAGTAGATAGATGTGTTTAATAAGACTGGTGTAAATGGGGAGGGATATGGGGGCTCACCAGCCCCCTCAGTGTATTTGTGGTACAAAGAGGGTTGGGGGGGGGCTCTTCAGTTCTGGCCTGTGAGATTCCCATCTCTGTGAAGTCGGCAGCATAACCTCGGGACGCATGTGGACCCCTGCGACTGGAACAGGGGGGGTGTGGAGCCCTGCTGACTCGCCACCCGCTTTATATTCCTTCTGCGTCCCCCCAGCCTCCCTGGGCCCCCACCCCAAGAAACATTATGTCCTCTTTGCAGAATAAAAATTGTATGCTTTGTGTACAAACAGCCATCATTGAATTATTGATGTACTTTTCCATTTATATGCCAGAGTCTTTGTGCTGGAAAGAGGAAATTCTGCTTTAAGTGACATTTTCAAGTCACTGCAGATGCTGGGAGAAGGAAGGTTGGTGTCATGTGGTGATTGGTAGCAGCAGGATGAAGATCACAGAAGTATTTTTTAATCTATTTATCTTTTAATTTTTCCGGTGTGTGTCTGTTGTGGCTTAAAACTCACAGAATATACAGCGAGCCACCTACTGGGTGCTAAAAATGGCGGAGGATTCTGGTCAGATAAGAGCAGATCAGAACTGGCTGATATGATTGGTAGTGACCCTACACCGCCCAACCGACAGCAACTTCAGAACAGGGACTGGGTCTGATTCACATCCGCATGGAGAGGAACGCTTGGTAAGACTGAAGAAAAAATGGCCAAACCAATGTAGGGAGAAATGTCTGTTTTGGTGTGATAGACTTTCCTGTTTTTAGAAGGAGCACAAGGGAGAGACTGCGCCTGGTGAGCTAAATATGACAAGGTAAACGGTGTTAACTTGCATGCCGTTGAGAACCTGCTGATAGATGTGAAGTTAGCCGTCCACAAGAGATGACCAAGAACCTTGAACCTGGAGTAAAATGTATACCAAGCATGTGCTCTGGGCTGGAATTTTTCCACAGAGAATTGCTCAAATTTCTTCCAAAAGTGTTTTAACCAAATGTTAAATTTGGGGTTCAGTGTTTCTCATTTAAGGATTATCACAAATTCATTTTCCAAATCCATAGGTCAGAAGCTGACTACTTCATAGTAGGCTTTTAAATTGCGTAATGGTTAAATAAAAATCTCTGAAAAATTAAACTTGCTCTTAAATGTGTTGAAATATTATCCAGCCCTCATTAATTTCAAGGATTAGGGACACCCTTTGCCTTCTAAACACCTTTAGTAAGTCTAGGCCTGGGAGTATGGAGTATAATATGGGACCGTTTTGAGGGGTAGTGTGTGACCCCATGGCTTAGAACTCTGTGGCTGTGTCCTGGAGGTTGTTGGTTTGAATCTCCAAAGTCTGTCCTGAAGAACTTCTCTTTCAGGTTTAATGATGTCTAGATCTGGTGAATGGGGATGTTCAACTTCATCCTGGTGTCCATGAAGCTGAATTTATTTAACAGTGTCTGTGGTGAATTATTATGTTGAAATACGGGAACTTCTTAAGTTGTTTGCGTCACAGATTGCACTTAAGTGCTCATTTATAAAATATAAAATGACCATTTATTCTTCGGTTATTATTTGACCATGCAGAGTAATCGGATCTAATGACCCTCATGTAGTGGGGACCAGTACCAGTACCAATCACCACCATTTTTAACTGTTGCCTTTCTTCAAACGTTAACCCATAATTCAAAAGATGGCCCTTAAGAGCAAATGACTTTTGCTCTTTTTTTTCAGGGCTCCAGCTCATATGCATTTTCCTCGAATGACATCACTGCCTTAAATCACAGCTTTGTGCAGCTGAAATTGCACAGGTTTTCACTGAGACGCTACACAGAGGTGGTGATTTTTTAAGCTGTACTTCTGTGACGTTAGCATCTTATTAAATGGCTGCCACTTAAGCATTCAATATAGTATGACACAGAGACAGCTACTTAGATGAAATTGTGACCTAGTTACTTCAATGTCAAAGTGCTTTACCACATTGTGTTTCGGTTATTTTGTTACCCCATTCCCATATTTTCATAATTGCAATGTAACTTCTGTTTGTGAATGTTTATTGCTACAAAAACGGTTAGTCTGAGCCAACACAATTAGCTTTTTTATATTGCAACATTATTACTCTCCTTGGCCAACACAATTAGCATTTGGGGTTGCATTTGAGGGCCTCACGCCTCTGGAACTGGGGTTTGAGTCTCTGCCATGGCTCCACGCGTGTCGAGTTTGCATGTTCTCCTCCAGGTACTCCGGTTCCCCCGCCCCGTGCAAAAACACACTAGTGAATGCCACATTGGAGTTAGCAAATTCCCCGTAGGTGTGAACGTGTGTGTGATCGGTGTGTGCCCTGCTATGGGGTGCCGCCCCAA